ATCCTTCTTTGCGGAGGCATCTGATAACGTATAAACATTTATTAGCTTTACCTAACTTTTCTTTTAGGTGAGTACTGAATTTGCAGTTCGGCTGAAACGTGAGGCCTAGAATGGTTAATGTCTAGTCTGAGCCTATGCCAAAAATACTTTTGTAGGCCTCAGCAGTGTGACCTTTTTTTATACATAATAACTCTTTACATTTACTAGAATTTGAGGTCATTCTATTTTGGCCTGCCCACTGTAAAAACTGACTTATTAAGTCTACAGAGTGAACTATATCATAATATAACGGAGCAATAATCGTACAGTCATCGGCGTATTTGAAACCAAGTGTCTCGTTCCCTAGTTTAATTTCAAGATCGTTAAGAAATATATTGAACAAATAAGGTCCTGAAACACTATCCTGGGTTGTGCCCTTGTTGACTGTTTTGCAATTACAAACAAGATTCCCATAAATAACTCTTTGTTTTAAACTGTCGTCTATTAGATAAATAGCTCATAAGCCATTCATCATGGATTGATCCTGATGTACCTAGGGCATGTAACTTATAAGATAATATGTCATGGGGAACAGTGTCAAAAGCTTTTTGGAGGTCAATAAAGACCGCTCCCACTGTCCGACCATTGTCAATTGCTATCTTCCACTTCTCATTCATTGAAATGAGCATTCCTTCAGTTGAGAGTCCCTTCGTAAATCCCCAATTTTCACAGCTTTTTGTGCCACAGCTGTTCAGATTATTGTCAATTAGGCTGCAAATTTGACTTTCAAGGAGTTTGCTGGGAATACTAAGTAGTGAGATTGGTCTATAATTAGAAACATCTGCTTGACTTCCCTTTCTTATGAATTGCATGAACTTTGGCTAACTTACAGGGATCAGTAAAACTGGACGAAGCCATACTGTAATAAAATACCATTAACAAGCCATCTGAAGCAGATGATCCCGCAACAGCAAAATTACGAGACGAAATACCGTCAGGTCCAGAAGCTTTGTTAGGTTTAAGATTCTTAAGATCACTCTTGAGCTTATTGATGTAAACCTCCAAGTCCTGTATAGTAGGGGTGATTCTGTACACGAACTGACACTTTTCATCGGTTTCGAGGAATTTTTCAGCTAGCTCCTTTCCAATGTTTATGAAATAAGAGTTGATAAGATCAACTTTCTCATTATCATTGGATACTTCGTTGTTGTTTGCGTCTCTGAGGAGGTTTCGTTGTTGTTTGCGTCTCTGAGGAGGTTAATGCGTTTACTCTTAGATTTACCAGTGGCTTCGTTTACAGTTTTCCAAAATGATTTAGAATCATTAGTCTTTGCAAATTGATTCATCTAATATTGAGCTTCAGCACTACGCAGCATCTAAGTTACTTTATTTCTAGCAGCTTTGTAATCAGCCCAAGTTTTCTGTGTTGAAGAGATTCCATCGCCGCCTTTCAAAAGTTTATATCTCTTATTAATCTCTTTCGAAATCTCCCCATTCATCCAGGGCAGCGAGCACTTTCTAACTTTGGCTTTGCGTAAAGTGACATGACCCTTAACTATGTCATTATACATACAATCCCAGGCCCAAGTAATATCATCTATGTCGTCAAAGGTAGAGCAAACCCACCACGGAGCACTTTCCAGGTCATGCTTCAAATCATTAGGATTTTTCATCACGTTTTTAAAATTTTGAACATATTTCACAAAAGGCTTTGGATCTCTGGTCTTTAACTTGTAAACAACATAGGTGAACTTATGGTCAGCAATGCAATAATTAATCACATCAGAACTTGAAACCTTGGAGATGTTATTGGTCAGAATTAAGTCTATCAAAGTGTTAGAATGCTCCGAAGTTCGTGTAGGCACCTTAATGATGTTCCAAAAGTTGAAGGATTGAAAGATGCGATTCAATTTAGTACCATTACAAGTACGATAGAGCATGTCAGAGTTGAAGTCACCGACGATAACAACGTTTCTGCGTGTCATCTAAATTTTATCCAAGACTCGGTGGAATTTATCAAAGAATAATGAAATGTCAGGAGGTCTGTAAACACAGCCGATGAGTAACCTTTGCGAATGGGATGACAAATCAATCCAGATGGTTTCAACGTCCTCATATTTGGATAAATGAGTGCAATCTAGAATAGATTTAAAATAAATGGCGACTCCGCCTCCTCTTTTGTGAGTTCTCTTTTCGTAAAATCTGGTACCCATCAATATTTACCTCGTCATAATGTATATCCGGTGTCAGATGCGTTTCGGATACGGTTAAGATATCCAGGTTGGTGTGTTCAATGAGTATTTCTACCTCAGCGAGGTTCTTTCGAAGGCCACGTACGTTCGAATGACCGATGGATATCCCATGTTTACCTTTGTCTCTCACCATGTGAAGTGTATCGAACAGAAAAGAATTAGATCCTGAACTAGGGTTTATGACACCACACAACTGTAGATACACAAGGTTGAAAGCTGCGTCGGAGTTGATGCAGTAATTGACTCTCGACTTCCTAAATCTGCGTCGTGATTTGGACACTATTACAAGATGGCGGAGCTCAACTCGATACGAAATAGGCACCAAAGGCTGGGAAATCCAGGGTTCCTGAAGAGTTTGCCTTTCCTCTTTAACAGAGGATAAACATGACTAGCAATAAGTATAATTTCGCTTTACAAGTGCCAGGGCGAGCAAGAGGAAGCCCAAGAAAGGCCAAACATTGACAGAACCAAAGGTTTTGCAACTTTCGCCATGACGGCCGCTGATTTTTTTCGCATGACGTTATCCATTTCCAAAATTTTAAACTAAAGAGCTACGAAAATATTTATTCTCATCAGGCATAAGGGGGTTTAAATTCATAGCTGTTTTCAACTTTTCAGCTCAATAGCGTGCGTGGTTTGGAAACCAGCGCAGTTCGAATTAAGTACACACTTGTGGCGGTGCGTGACATACAGCTCCGATCGAGTCTGTCGAAAAATATACACTTATCTGGGGATTTTTAGCCTTCTAAGGAGTTTAAGTGTTAGGAAAAGAGCATTTGTTAATGTTTCTTGGCTCAGTTCTGATAATCGGTCGACTAGATATCCAAAGTAAGTTCCAGCAGATGTTTATATTATTTTCCAGCCACCATATTGATGCACCAAAGAGGTGCACCAACATGGTGGTTCCATACTGTGCTCTGCAAATTTGCGCAAACATTTCGACGAATATTTGAAGTTTGGAAAAAAAAAAAGGGCCTTAGACTTGAGTGTCGGTTTTTACCTTTCTCCTATAACATTACAATTTCCTGACCTTATCCATTGAATAGTTTTTTTATATATTTTTTCAGTCGTTGCGTGAGAGTGAAAACGATCGATAGGTGGTTTGCAACCAATATCTAGAGACTCAGGTAACAGGTGGACGAACAAAAGAAGCTAGTGAGATATCTATTGTTTACGTCCATCAATGTGGCAGTAATGACGTAATGTGTAAACCACCTCATGATTCAGCATGCGCAAAAGTATTGCAAAATTGTGCTCACAGAAACTATTTATATTTTTAGGTTTTAAAAACTGAAATGTGTAAACATTTCAGGTGTCCCCAATTAGTGCTTACAGGCACTATAACGACTAGACACGTTAATAAAGGTTATGTATGTATGTATGTTAGTTAACTCACATACATGCTTACTTGGTAGTCTGGAAATGTGGAAATGTGGAAATATGCAAGTATGCAAATAAGTCTTTAGCTTACATACTCTTATCCTAAATTGCTTGGTACCCTGTAAATGTGGAAATGTGGAAATATGCAATTGTGCAATTGATTCTTAAGCGCATTCTTTTTTATCTTAGCTTGGCAGTCTGGAAATGTGGACATATGGAAATATGCAAGTAGGTCTTAAGCTTACTCAAGCACTTTTATCATAACTTGCTCCTCTGGAAATGTGCAAAAATGTAAATAGGTCTTTAGCTTATGCCCTATTGTATGAATTTTGCAGTCTGGAAATGTGCAGTTGTGGAAATCTCAAAATAATCAAATATGCAAATAGGATTTCCACATTTCCAGACTACCAATTAGTTAAAGTTAGATGTGAGTAAGCTAACTGAAAAAGACATTGCATATTTCCAAATTACCACATTTTCACATTTCCAGACTACCAAGTTAAGATAGAGGTGAGTAAGCTAAAGACTTATTTGCATACTTCTAGATTTCTACGTTTCAAAATTTCCACATTTTCCAGCCTACCAACTGAAGTTAAGAGAAAAGTGAGTAAGCTTGAGACTTATCTGCACAATGTTTACACAGTCAGTTTTTAAATTCTAAAAAATCTAACTAGTGTCGTGGGCACAATTCCAAATCGCACATTTTCACTTTTCAAAATTATTCTAAAGTGATTAATCTTATGTGCAGCACATTTCATGGTGATGACGTGTTCTGGGCTCTTCTACCCCAATTAAAAGCCATGAATTAACTCGTATCAAGTTTGTCTCAACATCCAATCAGACTCCATATGAGTGCAAGTGTACCTATTATTGTTTTAGCCTGCTGGTGCCTTGCACAGATATGGCGCGTCACTGTTTACAATTAAAATGTTCGGTAGTCTTACCTTGTTTTGGTAATTTTTATGTTTTCATCCTTAAGAAGAAAAGAAAGCTGACCATAGCTATCCCACCAGTGCGGTTCCTATCACACAGGGTATCTATCGTCCTCAGCTTCCATTCTCTAAACCATCTCTTAGGCTAATACCCACTCAAGCTTTCTCCGCATGTTTTCATACTAAAAATGAATCAATTCTCATATAAAATTTATGAATGCAATTTGGGCTTTTTCTTTTCTTCTTCTTATTCAGTTTTCCAAATAGTAGATAATTTTCAGGTCTTTGGAGACGCTCTTTTTGCTAAATCTAGCCATACTTACATAATTAATTTCTCTGTTTATTGTATTGACACCATCCTTATGTTGGAAAGATAATTTTGTTTCTGCCACGCATGCCCCAAATGTGATTTTGAAACTGAATTGCATAAAGGATAATTTCAAAGTTGAGTGAATCTGAGTGTATGAAAAACGATAATCTGAGGCAGAACAAGAATGTCTTAGTTATAGAAAAAACATATTCTCATCCCCGAGATACAGCCCCCTAGCTCCGTACTTCTGTTAACTTATTTATTAATTTTTCCGTATTTAACTCAGCACGTATGCGTCATGGACGACAATGCTAGAATGGGCGTACCTGATGAACAGCGTGCGCAGTAAGGATTCACAAAAGCGACGCCTAGAATTTGGTTTGGTTATTTATTTTCGTTTTTTTCTTGATAGAATCAAGAGGCCCTGAGGAAACAGATGGTTCCGTGATGAACAAAACTGAGCATGTATGGAGTCCTGACAAAGCTACCAATTCTCTTTGTCCCAGTAGTGAATATATAAGAAGTCCATGGGTGAATAAACTGGGGCAATATCCTTCTACAAAAAGTACGTACCGTGTTAGGATCAGTCCACTTAAATTTTTCATTTGATAATTTTTTTCCACAGCGTAGATCGACACTTTCGAATTCTGAGTTTGTTTTGAGTACTTGTTGTTTATGGTTCATTTCAAATTGTTGCTTTTCTTCTTAGGGTGAGTTAACGACTTGCCTGGTGTCAAAAATTGCCACCAGAGAGACTATTTCTACTTAGGGAGGTATAATTAAAACTCACAAAAAAAGTGTTTTGCTAAGTTTCAACTTAAGCGAAAATTTTTCAAAAAAAAGCTTTAAGTATTTTGCTCACTAAATTTTGCTATCTGGATCTTGGAAGCTAAAGTTTTAAATTTGACTCAAAAGTTTCCTCTCATTTAATTTCAGGGCACATGACGATTGGCTTAACGACAATAACCAGGCCTAATGGAGTACATTATCTTTCCGAAACGATCCAAAGTTTGCTGGACAGCATGGATGAGGAAAACAGAAAGCAGACATTTATAGTTGTATTTCTCGCAGACTTTGACAGGGGAAATAAACAGATCATAACGACAAACCTGTCAAAGCTGTTTCATAGAGAAATCGAAGAAGACATCTTGCATGTGATCGAAACATCGCCAAAATATTACCCCCAGCTTACGAACCTTAAGGAGAAATTTGGAGATTCAAAGACCAGAATCTACTGGAGATCTAAACAGAACATAGATTTTGCATTTCTGATGTGTTACTGCCACGAACTTTCTAACCTCTACCTTCACGTCGAAGATGACGTCAAAGCATCTCCGAGTGTATTTCATAAGCTGCAAGGATTCATTTCGTCGCAGAGGAAACCTTGGCCAATGCTGGACATTTCTTACATGGGTCATACTGCAAAAGTTTATCACTCAGAGGATCTAAGGAGCATTGCATCTTATTTCTATCTTTTGTACGCTGAAATGCCAGGTGACTGGTTGATAAGATATTGGCGACTGGTTAAAGTCCCAGAGAATGCAGGATTTATTTTACCAGCGGCTTCTCTTTTTCAACACCATGGTGTACATTCCTCTCTACAAGAAAAGAGTTGGCCAGTCAACAAAACTTACGATAGATACTTTGATGTCTATGATCACAAGTACTGGGGAAAAAACCCCTCAGCAGAAGTGTCTTCGTCGATTACGCCTAATCAAGGGAAACCTCAAGATGCTTACAGAAGTGGCCTTGGATACTTGTGGGGAAGAAACGTCAAGCAAGATGACCATGTAACAGTGCGCTTTAATTCTGTCGTTAATGCAAGCAAAGTATTTGTGGATACAGGCTCAAATCTAGCCATGAAAGATTTTCTCAGGTCTGGTGTTTTACAAGCAAGCTTTGTCTCTGGGACAAACTCGTCATCCTGTGGAAAGTTTGACACTGTTGTCCCATTTAAAGACGGTAGAGCCCAAGCTATTTTTAACAAAATGATCTATTGCTTACGAATTTTGGTTACTAAGGATCAAAATGAGTGGCTTTTTCTGAGGGAAATAAACGTTTGGGAAGCGGAACGATTAGCAAATGTAAATCTTTAAATTTTAAAAGCTGAGTAATAGTTACGTAATAGACTTGAAGGCGAAAGAGCGTTTAAATTTTGTCATTAAAATAAGCGTGCTGTATGCATAACGATAAATTTGAAAATGTGAATCTACAAAATCCTCAGACCCCGGTTGTTCGTTGCTTGGATAACGTTAGCGCTATCCACGGGATAAATCTTTATCCGGTCGTGGATAGCGGAGTACGTTTTGCTATCACTTATCCCGCGCTGGATACCGATTTATTCTTTGGATAGCACTTTTCACCCTTTATACGAATGGGCCCAGAAGTACATGTGCACGTCTCAGCGTCGTTCCTTTGACTTCTTTACCTTCGGTCTCGGCAATAGCGAGGAAACTGAAGTGGTTATTCAGTGATAAAACGATTAGTTAATGACTAGTTTGAGTGTGAATCTACTAGTGGTCTATCAAAGATGCTAAAGCCTGATTGGTTACCCTTACTCACAGTCTATTAGGTGTTGGACCATGGATAATCTGTAAAGTGATTCGCCTGACAGCGTGCAGTTGTTAACAAAACAAAAGAGAAAAAGAAAACGTTAGGCTGTCTTATGTTTTTTGCAGACTAGTAGATTGATGCTAAAACAATTTGATTACAGTGGCTCTCGATTTCTACGCCTCCGGCTCGCGATTTACATACTATTCTTGTTTTTTCCTAGCATCCCAAGTGGGTTATTACCCGATAACTCGATAGAAATGCGGTCCATTGCTTTTTGGCAATAGAATTGGCGAAAGAAAGTTCCGTCTATTGCTTAAAAAGCTATTGCACATGGGCTCGCCGTCGCAATGAGGAGCACGCAATCCATATGTTAAATCGACGGTTGTGTCATGGAAGTACCATTTAGCGAGGGAATAATTAAGATGTTTGGTGCTTTTTCTTTATTCAATAGTTGTGTTTCTGTTCAGACGAGTGCTATGTTGTTCAAACTGCGTTGTGACCTTTTGGATTCGGGAGTATAATTTAGGAAATATATTTTACGAAAGCAGGCATATATAGGATCAAAGAGAATTTCTTTGTGTCCGCTTTTATATAAGGCTACGTAGACATAAAAAAAAAAAAAACTTCTAGCAATTTCTCAGTTGTTGTTGCAAAACAAAGTTTCTGTTTGTAAAAATACTGAATTTCGTATTTGCATATTTACGGTCAATCCACTTTCGCCATGTTTGAAATCTATGCTTATACCTAGCGACTAGTTGTAGCCTCCTCAGACCAATCACAGAACAGCATTTCTCATACGGTTGACATCCTGTAATGGCAGCTTCTGATCTCATCACATATGTTCCATACGTAGGCAATACAGTGTGCACTTCCCAGTCACACCATAAGGCTGACCACAACTCGCTGGCGGAATCACCGTCAGGATGTACAAAAAGCTTATAAACCCGGGTTAAACAAGAAATCCGTACTTTTGTAATCTTTTGAATTTTGCTCAAATTGGCGTGGCTTGGAAATGAAACACGCATGAAATCAAAGTAATAGGTAACAAATAGTAACGAAATACGGAAACTAACACACACAAAAAACACTTTAGGCAGAACGAGAATGGTGCGTAAGTTAGTCATCTCTGCGTAACAAAAACGATGTCTGCATTACACCGTAATTTGCATGACTACTCACTCAGAATAGGCGTCGTGTTTTTGTTCTGAGATTGTTATTTAAGCAAGATTATGTCACCATGACATCTAAACAAAGTTCAACTAAGAGATAGTTGAACCAGAATGCTCAAGTAGAAGTTTCTGGCAGATGTCTTTATCGAGTTTTCCTCTAAATGCCGTCTTATTTTGTCGCGAAAAATTCCCACCCTAAAGTTTTGCGTGAAAATAACATCACTGAGACCCGCCTTCCCTTGAGGGACAATTTTCATAGCTGCGGTAGCATTAGCGTGGTTAGCGTTTCGGTTTTTACAATAACAAGCATAGCTTTATAAAAACAGCGTTTGAAAAGAACATAGTATTATAAAAGCAAGTTTCGATTAAAAAAATGTTTTTTGTTTGTATATTGCATACATTTCTGTAGCTCATGCAACGTATGACACGCAAGGCCAAACACCGCGAAAACTATTTGCTGCGCAGTGAATTCTCTTCATTTATTCGAATAAATCTGAATTCCCTTCAACTTTAGGGTCAAGAAAACTTGTTGCAGGTATAGTTTAGATACATTCCACAGAAATCGCGTCAGAAACAAGATTGGTTATCTCTTTTATTTGGTCAAGTATTCTCAAACAAAGCCCTTTCTTTCTCGTTCATAAATAGAGTTCAACTGCACATACATTTTGACTTGTATTCTTGTCAATGAAGCCCTCAACTTGCAAGTAATCTGCACATATATACTTGCAATCTTCAATTCTGCTCAAACTCAAAAATGAGATTTTATGACCAGAATGTCATCAGTTGAGCTCAAACAAGGACAAGGGAACTTTGACTACAAATGTAAGGTGCTGCAATAGAATTATAAGTTAATAACACAAACGATATTTTCTTCACTTTTGTTCAGAAAGTAGCCCACTAATTGATAAACTTAACCTTTACACAAAGTGTCTTCATGTTTAAGCCATAATTAAATACTGTATGTAGTAACTTGCCCTTACACAGTGTCTTCATGTTTAAGCCATAATTAAATACTGTATGTAGTAACTTGCATGAATCAAATTAAGTCTGAAATAAGAATCTACAGCATTAAGCTTACTTTAGAATCAGTCTACAAAGCAATACGACAAAATGTGAAAAAAAATAAATGTTTCCCCATTTCCTTACATCAGCAGGCACCAGCAGGCTTACCCCCCACACAGTTTCAAATAAATTTTACAACGTAAAGGCTACTGATGAGAATTTTTTTATAAAAAAAAAAAAGAGCTTTTCAAGTTCATGATCATATCTTAAGTTCTCGTGACCATATACTGTGTGATTCAGATACTTTGCAGAGAAATTAGATGCGAGTTACTCTTCAGAGTTAAAGGGTGATAAGACAACTGAGGGAGTCTGGGGAAAAGACAAAGTGTATGGTCTCAGAAAATAGACATTATATAGACATTGTTCCATGGAATGTGGGCACGAACAATGTTTAATAAATGAACAAGTAAGCGCAGCAAAGGAGTGAAGTTTTTGATGCATTGCAATGAGTCAATAAAAATCATTCAAGCAGTTTTAATGGTATGTTTTTATTTCATACATACTGAGATTTTTTCTTACTGACCGACACATTTCAAAGATTGGAAGAAAAAGACTGTGAAAATACATCATTCATCCAATCAGAGACACTGACCAGTCCTTCAAATCTTAGCATGTATGAAATAAAATATAATACTAAAGGCTCGACACAAACAGTAGCCAACTAGCCATCAGTTTTGGCTGGTGGTTTTGGTTTTTTACAAACCAGTTTGGCTAGTAAACAAACTGAAATTGTTGTAACATCTAAGATGTCACTGGCCACTTGACTAGTAAGTTGAAAAGTTAGTGTCAAGCCCTGAATACTGACGGAAAGTTTTACAAGTTTATCATTTCAACAAAACAACCACACATTGTTTAAAAGTTAGGTGGAACTTGAAGAATTTATGTAAGAAATGGTTAAAAAAAATGTGCACTTCTCAATAACATGCAAACTATGAATTACTTTCCAAGATGCATCTCAAGAAGAAAGCATGTTCCTGAAATGTAATTAAAGGATGTCTATCCATTTTCATTTTGGGTTTTCAGTTTCTTCTCTGCCATTTAAGATGGCCTTCTTTATGTCAAGACTGAGGGCACCATAATACTAGATTGCAAACTTGACCATTTGACCTGAGAGTTTGCATATTACTGAAACATGCCAAAAGTTGTACTGCACAAATCAGTTTACAGAACTATCACTGAAAAATAATGGTGCCATCATTTTAGAGTGTATATAACTCCAAGGCTGTGCTATTATGTTATTATTTCACAAGGACTTTTTCAATGTCCTTTTTAATGTCAAGAGGTGAGGTGGTTGGAGCATATCTCTTTACAGGGACTCCATGCTTATCACAAAGAAACTTTGTAAAGTTCCACTTGATGTTGTTTGTTAGTGTTCCCTGTTTTGCATTTTTCAGGAAGACATAGAGAGGATCTGCATTTGATCCATTGACGTCAATCTTGCCAAACATGTCAAACTCTACACCATAAGTACCAACAAACTCCTTGATTTCACTCTCAGTGCCAGGCTCTTGTCCTCCAAACTGATTGCAAGGAAAAGCAAGAATACGAAGACCTTGCTCAGCATACCTTGAAAATAATCGAAAAAAAAAATGACTGGGTTAAATGTTGAACACCTCTAACAAAAGGTCAATTTACTTTCTCTTACACTAGGAGAGACTAGCATCTAATTTCTCTGTACAATGACGCCCAGAAATTACACATTAAGGTCACAAGAATTAATGAAATGATCACCAACTTAAATTCTCCTTGTCAGCACCTTTGGAAATGTCTGGAGAACAATATGGAGAATATGCAGACTGATGTTACGGTGTTGACAAGAGTTCTTTTCATATTTAAATGCTGAGCCATTATGAAGTTTATTCTCTTGTTACTTTACACCATACTCCTGCTGCTAAATTTGGCTAGATTTCCTTATGCGTAGAGTGTCGCAAAGAAACCTTCATAGATAGTCTTTATGAAATGGAATGCATAATTAATGTGTTGGGGTTATATGGAAATCTTTCCCTATATTTTCTAACGAAAACGGTATAAATCCTGATATCCATACAGTTGCAGTACACCAACAGACCCAAATCCACTTGCATTATATCAAGCTTGGGTTGACTGTGCGCATACCGAGCCAACATTGGCCCTGTATTCTTCAGTCGCTTTAGCAAACATTGATCGACTTAGCTGCTCAAGTCCAGCAACCGTCCCCCCCAAACAATTGGCAGAACTACAGTGTGGTAAAATAAAATGAAATAAAAGAGCAATTCAGCTCAAATGTAGTCCAAAACAATAAAGATTGCGCTAATTCACAATAATAATTTTGACCCATTGGAAAACTTTTATTTGTTGCGTGCAGCTGAACCATTAACTAAAATGTTCGTTAGATTAAAACTGTAGCTTGGGAAAGTGCAAATCAGTTCCATAAGAAGGCCCTCTTTTACGGCTAAATCAAATCACGAAACACGTGTACAACCGAAAATCTAAATCAAATTAAGGGAGAGTTAGAGAAACTTACGAGGTGTGCAGCTCCTGTAGCTGAGCATAGTTCTTCTTGGTAAAACCTCATTTGGACGCTACGTTGACGATGAGCGTCACAAATCCTTCGTACTTCGACAGTTTTACAGGGTTGCCATCTATATCTTTTACCTCGAAGTCGAGAATTGTTGTGTGTTCCTTTGCTTGCGCCATCTTTGCACCGTACAAAATCCCGACAGAACTAAGCGAGAAGCACGCGTATTTCACCAACCTCGAATTCAAACACCGACCCTTGGTACAAACAAGCAGTTGTCTGCTAATATGACGAAACATATGCTATCTTTGAGGATGACTGATAGATCACGAGTCAAAGTTTGTCTTGCACCATGAGCCGAGACAGCCGAGACGCAGAGACAAATAGAGTGGATGGGTAGAACTCGTGCCCAGAGCTACTCGTCCTTTAAATCCAGAAATGGTAAGGACTCTGGGAAGAAAATGAGGAACTATTGGGATATTTGGGCAGATATTTGTAGGAGTTAATTTTTGTTTGTTTCTTTGTTTTTGAACAGTGAGCAAGATTCCAGCACTTTGAATTCCGATTTGGTAACCGTTTCATTCGCCGTCACTGGACTTCATTCACCCCCACCAAGACACTATTCCATCATTTTAGTAATTTCCGTACTTAAGAACATCATTTGCCGGCGTTTGCCAACATTTACTACCACGACACACCGACTGTCGTCGTCAGGCGCCAATCGCCGTCCAAACGTATGAGTTTAATTCACGAAATTGCCACCATTTCAGTGGTTCGCACGCGTAATTTCCTTCATTTAGTTTACAGACCAAATCCCTTGAAGGATGCTCATCGCTCAAGTATGGCCACTCCATGGATAGAAAATTCGCCAAAAAAAATTAAAAACAAAAAACAGTTTAGGGAAAGTAAACGCTTCAACTACGGAAGATCTTTGCGAATACAGCAGTACACGAAATAAGTTTAAAAATAATAGTTTTATTTACAACATCTGAATACAATTTTGCTTTTCAATGCCATTGCAAAGATACGAATAGCTTATCATTCGATCGAATCAAAGAATATTTACAATCATAGCACACCACAGGCATGTACAGCATCATGTCATAATCGGCTGTCTATTTTCTCTTTGAATCGTTTCAGTTCCTTGGCTATAGTCTTGTTGCTTCCCAGACTCTCTCCTCTCGCTTGAAAAGTAACGTCGGTTCGTGTCTTCTTTTCTTTCGTTCGTTCTTCGGGTCGTGTTTCGAAGAGTTCTTGAGTGATGGCCGTCTGTTTCAGCGAAGCTACCCGAACTTCGTTGTACTTCGTTTGGACCTAGAGGAATTAGAAACAGTAAAGTCAATTTTTACAACTTTACAAAGCTTGATTCATACAAAATAAATAAGCCTTGACTGACAAAACGACTGCTTTTCAGGAAGATAACGTTTCATAATTTATATTCCAAAAATAAATGTAAATTTTCTTGCTTCGCAGAAAAGGCCTAGATGAACACAATGCGCGATTTACATGAACCAGTGTGAGGGTGAGTGAGGGGGACGAATATTTTTCGCATAGAGAAATACTCGAAAAAATATTTGAAAACTAAACAAACCTCATTCAAGAGCTTCTTAGCCTCACGATATTCTTGTTTAAGCTTTGGATCCTTCTTTAAATCTTGGAGAGCAGTTTCTAAACAAAACAAACCATATATGCCAGTGATTACTAAGACTAGATGTTCTTGACCGCACGCTTATTAAACGTCTCTCCGCACGCCTCTCTATTAAACGTGACTTCTTTGACGTATTTTTTCTCAGACCTATAAAGATTAGTTAATCAAAATCGGGGAAAGATTGCCATAAAATACTAACCTAGGTTGGACTCTTTGGTCTTGGACTGGACTCGCATCTTGTCTAGAATTCCCCCTAGTTCTTCTACTTTGCTTTGCCGAGACTTCGTTCCCGTTGATGTTGATACCGTCTGTAAAATGCACAAATAACATACAGTGTTAGGGATGTCCACATTTTGTACAGATAATCAAACAGGAAGACGCTGTGGTAATAATTTTCCGTGAATAATTCATTCATTCGCTAAAAACGGTGCACATGTCATTTGTACAGCCTGGTAAGAAGGTTTGAACTTAACTCAACTGAAAAAGTATCCAGCTGGTTGCAACAAATGACACCTCCACAACATCTTATATGATAGAGAGGAAGATAATGGTGAGCATGCCCCACTGTCACAGTCAACTCCTCAATAAATGAGTGTTCAATTATCCATACTCGGTTCTCCATTCTCGGTATCAATCAAACTGGATTCTTGATCCTCGATTCTCGTGAGCATCAAAAACATATTGAGAAGAGAGGTGCGAAACATCATTTCTCGTTTCTCATTTACCCGCACGAAGGTATCGATTTTGGAGACTGACCCAGGTGTGTCTACCAATGTATTTTATAACATAACCAAAGTAAAGCGCGCGCTCTGATTGGTCAATTTAGCGTCCCCATTTGCCCATGGGTGTACGCTGATGACGTGAGCAAATGCAAAGACTTTTTTCCGCGCGCTTGTTTTTTCTGGTCACGTAAGATTTGTTCAATAAAAGGGTACTCTTTAGCTACAATGTATCAATGTTATGTTATAAAACAAATGGTAAACACCACAGCATACACTATTGAGTTATGGATACACTTGGGAGGTTTGCTAAGCACTCAAGAAGCTAGAGTCGCTCTCGGCTATCGCCTCGAGCGGCTCTTACGCTTCTTTCGTGCTTAGCAACCTCCCACGTGCATCCATAACTCAATAGTGTACGCTGTGGTGTTTACCATTTGTTAAATTATATTCAGATTCCAAAAAAGAAAAAAACATATTTTATCAACGAACACTCACTTGAGCCTTTTTAACCCTTCGTTCTTTGAAAGTTCCATGAGGTTTACTGAAGATCAAAGGATGAGCCAAGGCATAGGTTAAAGCTCGTACACTTCCTTGAAGATCCTTTGGCACTATAATGTCAGGGTCGTCTTCATCAACATCCAAAAGATCCTCGTAGCCTTTGTACTTTGTTTCCACGCTAAAGGGTCGCTCCTTTTCTTTACTTTTCTTTGGCTTTTGGACTGGGGCTTGAATGTTCTGTGCATCTTCTTGTTCATCAACCTGTCGTAAAGACAAACCAGCCACCCCCATGAAACTAAACCTCTCACAAATGACTACAAAAAAAAAAACTATTATCGGAATGGTTACAGGGCTCGATACTAAGGATAGCCAACTAGCCACAGACTAATAGAAATTCAGTTTTTGCTAGTGGTTTTCGATTTCCACTGGCCAGTTTGGCTGGTAAACAAAGTGAAATTTTAGTAACATCTAAGATGTCACTAGTCACTTAGCTAGTAAGTTGAAATGTTAGTGTCGAGCCCTGAGTTATATTATAGTTCTATCTTCTTTATTCACACAACAGGACGCATAACATAGATGTACCTTCATGTATTCAAAACAAAGTTTACCCTATAACATCATTGAAGTATTGATAGTGTAAGGAACAACTCCTTTTTTGTCACTCCTGGAAGTGAAAAGGTTTGGTTGTCGCTATAGTCCGAGAAACGAAAAAAAAAATTACTTTTCAGAAGCAAAATTTCTTACTTGAGTCATAAAAAATCCGTCCTCAGAATTAAGCTGCTTTTCTGCGCGAGGTTGATGTCGCCCATCGGCAGTTCCCAAACTTTCACTGATAGTAGCTCCTCCTTCCGTCTTTATTGTCTGTCTTGTAGTGTGACCGGACTGGTAAACCGCTGACTCGGGAAACTCGAGAGGTGTAGTGTTGGCTCGGCTGAAAGAAGGACGGTCGCCTCGGGGTGTTGTATCAGCGAGGCCAGGCGCGGTAGAGAGTTTTCTCGGGGTGGAAGTCTCACGCTGCCGTCCCGTTGGAGGAGCTGACCCTATTGGTGGCAGTGTCATGTATGGTGGACCAACATATGCGGTTGATTTTGGTTCGGGAGGAGCTTCCAACATCGCCAGGTTTTGCTTCTTGGGCATTGGAGGAAGTGTATCTTTAACCTATGATTTTTTTCGCAAAAAGATGCGTTCAGAAAAAAGAAAACAAACAAACAAACAAACAGATTTGTAATACGTCTTTCAGGGGAATCCCAAAGCTGCTGAAGAATAAGCACCACGTTTCTATTCAGCCTCTATTACTCTGTAGATTGGGCTCTAAAAATGTCCTTGAGTTATATGTATGCAAAAATGAAAACGGCATTGCTGGCTATACTATTAAAGAATGATAAAAAGTCTGTTTACCAGCCAAGTGGCCTATCAGGCCGGCGCTTAACTCCCGTTTTGGTAACATGAAGCGACTAAGAGTATTTCTACTCCCCTGGCATTAAATTTGCCAGCACCCATTTAAACACCTGGGTGAAGAGAGGCTCTGCGTGAGTAAAGTGTCTTGCCTAAGAACACAAGACAATGCCCCCAGCCAGGGCTCGAACCCAGACCACTTGATCAAGAGTCGAGCGCACTAACCATGAGGCAACCGCGCCTCGCACACAAAGAACTCTAAATAAGAAAAAAAGGTAGACAGGTAGACTTGTGGTCTTACTTTTCTGTGGTTCTTTGCCAAGTTGACAATTGGCTTTGTTCTCTTCGGAGGCTTTTGTCTGGTAAGAGGCGAATTAGGTTCATGAAAAAATAGGATGGAACAGGATAGAACCATCTAATAATGGCCTGCTTCTTAGAAAGACTAAGTTGCTCAGTTAAAACTCAGAAGCTAAGTCTTACAACTATCAATTTAAGGCCAAATCGAGTTAAATAAACTTAAGGGTCAAACACCTGCGCGTTTGCAAAGGCGACGCTACATCGTGTTTTCAAGCCCACGAGATAATTGCAGCAACCTCTTGAGCATTAAAGAGCAACTTATTTTCACCACACTGTAACAGTCACATTTACATACGAGTAGAAATCGTTTCCCAGGTTGCTATGCCTGCAGTGAACAGGTATTCATTGATCACTGTTTCACAGATGCTACTTCCAACAATGCTAACAAACGTTGAAAATACCATAAATCCTTTAATATGTCCCCGGGATGCTTATTTATTTCAGGTACTTTGGGGAGAGGGCTTAATAGAGGGGGGGGGGGCTATTAATTTAGAACTCAATAACGAACTCAATTTTATGATCAAACTCTCTCGATGGACGTCGTTTAGCCATGCTATATTTTAAGCATCGCTCTGTAATTTCCGTATACCGTATTCTACTGATGCCAACATGATAACATCAATCATTCAATCACCATAATCAATTTTAAACGACAAACTAAAATTACACTACTTGAATAAATTCATCGTACTTACTGACCGGGAGTGTTACTTTGAATTTTTGTTTTTTGAGGGAGAGGGGTGGGGGGCGTAATGGGAGCCCTTAATAAAATTCTCCCTCTGAAGAGGGGTGGCTTATTAGATGGCAGGGCCTTATTAGAGGGGGCTTATTAGAGGGGGGGCTTATTAGAGGGGGCTTATTAGAGGGGGGCTTATTAGAGGCGGGATTTTCGGTAAGCATGCAGGACTCGTGTCAAATTTAAAGCTCGTACACGGGAACAATGAGGCTCGTATAGCAACAGCTATTGAGAGCAGATTTTGTCCTTATGTACAATGTTTAACTCTTGCGATAGCCAGACCTTGATATTTCTTGGTTCTCTTTGACACCGTAAATATCTTGCACTTACCTGAAAATCGTCACTCCCTTCAATCTTCCAAGTTGAAACGAAAGAACAGGAGGATCTCCTTTGAATGCAGTTGTAAGCGGATTTCCCCATATTACAAGTTCTCTGAGGGATGGCCAACCCATCAGAGCCAAAAGACCATCTTCTTCAAAGATGAGATTGTTTGCCAGGTTCAAGTGAAGTAACCTGGCAAATGGCAAGGGGGGATTGTATCTGTCACCTAAAAAAAAAAAAAAAGCAAATCAATGATCATACATTGTAATTAAATTCAGTATAATAGCCGAGTGACCCACAACCGTCGCCAGAGGTCACCCCGGTTTCCTAAGCATGAAGCGACTCGGATTATTGCTGCACTCATCTCATTTTTTCGGAATGGGATGCTATATGAAGGGGTACTGGAATCTATTAGAAACTGCAAAACCACAGAAAAAATCCCTCAAAACCGCATGCAAAACCGTGACAAGCTACGCACAGAAGAGAAACCGGAACCCAAATAGGAAAAACCGAAAACCACATCGTATACAAAGTCCGAAAATCCGTTCGTGTTTTTGGCGAAAGAAAACCAATCGATAAAAAAGGGAAAATCCGCAAACTGCAATGACCTCCAAAACCGAAAAAAAAAAAACAATTTTTCTTGGCGCAAAAACCAATCTAAAAAAATAGCCAAAACCGCAAAACCGCAAATCCCAATGCCCCC